CACACGGAAACAGCAACGGTCAGACCTCCTCCCCGTGGACCCCCCCCCCTTCCTCCTCCTGATCCTCCTCCTGATCCTCCTGATCCTCCTCATCCTCCTCCCTCACTCCCTCCCTCCTCCCCGCCATCCCCCCCCCCTCTCTCCCTGCCCTTTCCCCCCTCCCTCGATCTCCCCCCCAAACCCAGACCAGGGGCGTCTGATAGGGATAGGGAAGGTCGCAAGTCATGGCCCGAGCCACGTGCGCAGCCCAGGGGGGAACCAAAGGACGTGTTAAGATAATTGAAAGGATGGCCGTGGAATCATAGCGCGGCCCCGGCCACGATACATCACCCCTTCTCGGATGAGCCCGACCTGAAGCCCAGCATTCCGAGCGGGGCCCGGCGGCGGGGCGGGCGGGAGGAGTCCGGGCAGAGGCACCGGACGGTCACCCGCACGCAGGTGGGGACCTGCGCCGCGCTTGCTGCGAGGGGCCGAGGGCAAAAGGGAGGGGGGGGCGGGGGCGAAAGCAGGACGAGGCGCGGCAAACATCGGCGGCACGACTTGCTCCTGGCTGCCCCCACAAACCCCGAGACCCCCCCCCCCCCCCTCAGACCTCTCCAGCGGTGCGTTCTGATCAGAATTTCGACGCCGATTCAACCTGGAGCTCCCCAGAGCCCCGAAGAGGGCGATTGACGCCCAACGATTTGGGACCTCAGAAATCGAGTCCGTGAGAACCTCCGACCTCGAAAACCTCGAACCTCGAGAAGCGAGCTCACCCTCTGAATGGGAACGATAGGGGGAGACCAGCTCAGGGGGGGCATCGAACTGGGCAACGGCTAGGGGCAACAGGGCGGAGCAGGCTATCGGGCAACTACCGCCGATCAGTTGGCCAATGGGCGATTGGGGTTCGATGCGCCCCCCCTTGAGTGCATGCCCCCCCCAAGGTTGCCCCCCACTGGGGGGGGTAATACACCCCTGGGCGGTCGGGCGCCTGAGCATCGCCCCGTACCTGGTGACGCTCGGGCGTGCCACCACCAAGAGTCGGCCCCCACCCCGACTGGTTCTCGTCGGCGGTGGCCTCTGCTCTCAGACATCCGACGCCTTTCATCTCCCGACACGGCTTCGCGGACTGGGAGAGGGCCCCGCGAGACCTAAAACGGCCACCGTCAGTTTGTCGTGCTTTTGCTCGTGGAGCGAGCATGTCTGGGTCTCCTCATCCTGAGCCGTTTTCTGATGGTCCCGAAGCACTTTGAGGGCCCCGGGAGGCCGAACGCGGCGGAAAACCTTCAAATGTCGATTCCTTCAGGACCCGTGTCCTTCATGGCGGTCCGCTCCCCCTCCGAACTTCCCCGCCGAACCCGGCGACCGATGACGTGCTCGGCTGGGCGAGGCTGGGACGGGCTCTCCATGAGAGGTCGGGGCCGTCGTCTTTGGCGCCGCCGCCGCAGTCGCCGCTGCTGTCGCCGTCGTTCACCTCCTCCCTCCTCACCCTGCTCCTCACCCCTCTTCCACGACGGCGGCGGCGAGCTCGACGACCTCGACGACCACCACCACGACCTCGACAACGACGACCTCCTCTCGGAGGCGACAATGCGGGCGAATAGCCCAGGGGGGACAACACATGCATCCAGGGGCGCCTGTGGTCTGTCTTCGGCGAAGCTCCCCAGCGAATACGTGTAATGCCCGCCCCTGGGCCATTCCAGGGAAGCCAAACGGTACCGATACCGCTACTGCACGGACCTCTGCCAGGGTGCTTTCTGACCAGACTTTCGAAGCGAATCCAGCAGTGGCGACGAGGGCCTCCCAGGAGGCGAACAGTATTGGTATCGGTACCGGTGCCTTTCCCTCCTCTGGTATTCGCCCCTCTCGTCGCCTCCGATCCTGATCGAGCCTCCCCGCCGGCCCCGGAGACCGACGATGTGAGCGGCCGGGCGAAGGTTGCTGGCAGGTCGAGCCTCTCGGCGAGCAGCCCACCTCCCGCACGGGCGCGGGAGGCGGTCGCTGGCGGCCGCCCGGCGGCTCCCCCCTGGGGGGCCAGGACGAAGAGAAACGTTGGCGAGGAGGAAGCGAGAACCTCGCAGATCCGGCGGCTCTGGCGGGCGTCTCGGGCGCAACGGCCTTCTCAGAGCGTCCCGGAACGCTCTGAGAACGTCCCCGAACGCTCTGGAACGGAGGTAGCCTCGTCCTCGCCCCGCCCGGTAATGGAGTAGGGGGGGGCAGTGTGCACCTTCCTCGCCCCGTCCAGGCCCCCAGGAGCCCCAGCAGGGTAGGGCACACAAGGTGCGCCGTTCTGCCCCCGCCCACTGCTCGCCCTCCCCTGTTACGCAACGCCCGGGCATCACCATGGCCACACGGCCTGGAGAACGAACGAGCAAACGGACGAACGACGCGCGACGCGTCCCCAGGAGGGGACTGGCTGGCCAGCAGCCTGGGCGGGGCGGCCGTGGCCGCCACAGATCTCCTGCACGGTGCGATCCAGGGGTGCTGATGCAACCATTCTCCTGTGACCTGTGAGTCCCGACACTCCGTGTCCAATGCTGCAGTCGACCATGCAGCGTCTGTCTTTCAACACGAGCGATCCGCTCGTGGTACTTCCATCATCTGGGAGCGAGCGGGCTGGCGAGAAAAGGTGCACGCCCAGCTCAGCATCCAAGCGAATCGCTGGAGACATCGGGCTTGTTGGGGAAAGCGAGAATTCGGCGGAGACGATGGTTATCTGTAGGGGCCGAGCAATGAACAGGACATTCTCCTGCTCTAGAATTACCCACGGCAGAGTTCGGCGAAAAGGCTATAGCCTTAGATGAAGCGTCCCAGGAGACAGCTGCTCTTCGTGCACATCCTGTAAGGGCAGATGACGCGTAGGATTCTTTAGCTGCGGCGCAGACAGACAAGGGAGGACCGAAGAGGGGTTCGGCAGTGGACCCAGGCCTCCAATGGATTGACACGAACACGCTGCGGAACAAAAACAGGCGGAAACTGTTCGCCTTTTGCCGCGTCATTCCAGGACCGACGCCCAAGTGTTTGGGCGCTCTTCGCCCAACGGTGCGGCCTCGGGAGGGCCCCTCGCCGCCGCGACCTGGGACTCCCCCGGAGCTCTTCCGGGAACGCACCCGCAGAGAAAGAACCAGGGGCAGGCCCTTGAGGGCAGAGGAAGCGGAGGAGGTCAAGAGGAGGAGGAGGAGTAGGAGGGAAGGAGGAGGAAGGCCTCAGGACTGTGGGATTGGCTGGACTGCGCCCCTCTCCTCCCCCTCCTCCTCGAAGCACGGAATCCCACCAGCCCTTTAGGGCGTCGGTGGTTTAACGAGTTTCCTCTTCCACCCCTCCTTCTTCCCCTTCGGGGAGGGGTTTACCCCTCCCCCTACCCCCTCCCCACTGACCTGGACAGTGGGGGCCGCGATCGGTCAGAGCGTCCAAGATCGACCCCTGGGAGGGCTAAAATTCGACACCCCTCACGAGGATCGTGGCTCCTGAGGGGGGGGCTGAAATTTAGGAACCCCCCTTCGTTGATCGATCTCCTCCAAGATGGCTCCGAGAGACGTCTTGGACCCCCTCTTGGGCCCTGCGCGCGGGCGGGCGGAGCGCCGCCCGCCCGCCCGCAAGGCCCAAGAGCCCACCAAAACGTTCGAAGATACTTCCAAGACGCCACCAGGGAAGAGGAAGATGAGGAGGAAGAGGAGGAGGCGGAGGAGGAGGAGGAGCAGGAGGTGAGGGAGGAGGAGGAGAAGAGGAGGAGGAGAAGGCGGAGGAGGAGGAAGAGGGGGAGGAGAACAGCTGCCGATCATCGGCGCTCTTCGTTCGAGCGCCTGGTGTAGGATGGGCTGGTGGGGATACGCGAAGCGTCAAGAATTTACACACCTCGGCGGCGGCCGAGGTTGCCGGGGGCGCGCCCCCGCGTGTGCGTTCGCGAGCGGGCCGGCGCGGCGCGGCTCCAGAAAGGGATCGCTGTGGATCGCTGCGGGAAAGAGACGGGGAAAGAGGGCGTGCAGCATCGATCTCCGAAACAAGCGCTACCGCCGTGAGGCGATCCCCCCTCGAGGGCCCCTTCTGCGCACGCCATCCCCCTGCCAGGATTTTTTGGCGCACGCTATCCCAAGCTGGGGGATCGCATGTAATCCGTGGGTCGCCAGCGGCACATGGCACGCCATTTTCCCAGCCCCAACCGTAGCACACGACCCGCGGGCGCGGCGCCAGACTGCATCAACAGCCCCCCTCCGTGCTCGGTGCTCATTTCTTGCAACTCTTCCTGCTGCTGTCGCTGTTGGCTCTGGCGTTCATCCTGAACTCAGCATCGACCTTATCCTCCTTCTCCTCCTCCTGCTGATTAGTGGAACCCTTCGAGGGCCGAAAGCGCCTCAAACCCATCCAGTCTGGAGACGCGGGCGGAGGATTAGAAAGAGGACCAATGTAAACCCAAGGCCCATCAACGATAATGAAAGGAACTCTCCCTGCCAGCCCCCTCTCCATAAGCGCCTATGCAGATAACTATGTGTCAGGACCCGTTGGAAGACGACAGGAACCGCCCTCCATCGAAGAAACTCGTGCAAACTTGTAATACGAGTGTGCGCGGAATCAAGACGAGAATCACATGTTGAACACGACACGCCCTCAAGCCGTGAAATGTTTGCAAACTTTTAGAAAACAATGCGCGCGGCATTCAGGCGATAACCTAATGTTGAAAACGGCCCGCCCTCCATCCGTGAAGCTCTTGCAAACTTCTAAAACTAATGAACCCGGCGCGGTGGCGAGAGCATCATGTTGAAAACGGCCCGCCCTCCATCCATGAAACTCTCAAAAGTTTTGAGCTGTGCAGAAATCTCAAACGGAACGTCAGACCCACCCTACCGACCAGTCCCGGGATGCGACAGGAGGGACTTGTTTCGGAAAGGAGATGGACCAACAAAAAGAGGATGGCTGCGCTCAAGATGGACTCTAGACTCTAGAGCCAGCCGCGACACTGACTGGATGAGGGGGAGGTGCGGGAGCAGGAAGAGGAGGAAATAAGGAGGAGGAGGAGGCGGAGAAGGAGGAGGAACACCGACCACCAGAGAAGAAGGAGCAGGAGAAGGGGGGGCGGACCACAAACCACCCAAGGAGGAGGATGAGGAGGAGGAACACAGGAGGTGTGGGCGGAGGAGGGGGAGGAGGAGAGGAGGAGGAGGAGGAGGAGGAGGAGGAGGAGGAGGAGGAGGAGGAGGAGGAGGAGGAGGAGGAGGAGGAGGAGGAGGACGAGGAGGAGGAGGAGGAGGCGGAGGAGGAGGAGGAGAGAAGAAGAAGACGAACGAGGAAAAGGCAGAGGAGAAGGACGAGGAGGAGAAGGGGGACGAGGAGGAGGAGGCAGGAGGAGGAGAAGGAGGAGGAGATGGAGGACGAGGGGGAGGAGGAGGGAAGGGAGGAGGAGGAGGGGAGGAGGAGGAGGAGGAGGAGGAGGAGGAGGAGGAGGAAGGAGGAGGGGGAGGAGGAGGAGGAGGAGGAGGAGGAGGAGGAGGAGGAGGGGAAGGAGGAGGAGGAGGAGGAGGGGAGGAAGACGAGGAGAGGAAGAACCCCGACCACCCACCCAAGGAGGAGGAAGAGGAGGAGGAGGAGGGGGAAGAGGAGGAGGTAGAGAAGGAGGAAGAGGTAGAGAAGGAGGAGGAGGAGAAGGAGGAGGAGGAAGAGGAGGAAGAGCACGGGGGGAGAAGGAGGAGGAGGAGAGGAGGAGGAGGAGGAGGGAGGAGGAGGAGGAGGAGGAGGAGGAGGGGGAGGATGGCAGAGCGCGCCGTCGCCCGTCTGGAGCCGCGGGCGCCCCTCCTTCGACCATCGCGACCATCAGCCGGCCTTCCCTCCACGCGAAGAACACGCGGATGGGCCGCGCCGGGCCGCGGCCTCGGCACGAGGCGCGGCAGCGCTCGGGGGCGGCGGTGGCGGGGACGTCGTCGTCGCTGCCGTCGCCCACTTCCACCCGTCGAAGCCCCTAGAAAGGGGGCGGGAGGAGGAGGAGGAGGAGGAGGAGGAGGAGGAGGCTGAGGAGGAGGCTGAGGAGGAGAAGGAGGAGGACGAGGAGGAGGAGGAGGAGGAAAAGGGGAAGGAGGAGGAGGGGGAGGAGGAGGAGAAGGAGGAGGAGGAAGAGGAGGAGGGGGAGGAGGAAGAAGAGGAGGAGGAGGAAGAAGAGGACCACTGCAAAACCAAGAGTCATCAACGATGTTGGAATTAACCCTCCCCCCAAGCTCCCTCTTGAGAGGAACCACAACGGTTCATTTCCATTGAGGGAACTGCCTCGTCGAAAGACATTTGAATCTCTTGAGGCATGGCAAAACATGTTCTCGGGATGTAAGCGCCACGTATCAACCTGACTGCTGCGTCTTGGCGATCCAGGACCGCGCCAGAGCGCCTTTTCTGGGACTTCAGCACCGCGAATCAACATAACTGTTGCGCACGCACAATCCCGAATCCTTCCAAAACGCCGAATCTGGTACGTTGATCATGGGATGCCGTGGAACACTTGCAAATGTTGAAAACGAATATGCGCGGCGCTAAGGCGAGAACCGCATTTTGAAAGAGAACCGCCCTCAATCCGTGAAACCAGAGCAAATATTCAAAACGAGTGTGCGCGGCGCTAAAGCGATATCCACATGTTGAAAACGAATCGCCCTCAGGATTTCCGCGTTCTCCTCCTCCATCTAGTCCCCCACTTGTCGCGGGCGAGCTTCTCCTCCGTCGTCGCATCGAAGCGCCGTCGGGGGCGTTGATCTTGGGGGAACGAACAGGCGCCCCGACCGAGGGCACGACGCAGTCCGTTCTGAGGAACTCGCGCAATATCCTTTGCTCTGGGACAGTTGGCGATCTTCACCTTTGCCAGGCCCCTGACTCCTGCCTCGGTCTCGCCCCCTTTGCCGCTGCGTATTTTTTTTCGGGCGCTCCTTTTTCCCCATCGCCTTCGCCGCCCTAGCCGCCCTGGCCGCCCGGGGCAGCTTCGACCGGCGCGGGGGCGCCAGGGGGCCCCCCTTTGGATGTCTGCAGGGGCGCTCGGCTCGAGAGAGGGAACATTTTCCATGTGAGAAAATGTTTGCAACCGACGTCTTTCTTCAATGTTTTGCCATCCCCCATGCAGGACGGGCCTGTCCCCTCGCCCCCGCCGCCGCCGCCGCTTCCCGCGCCTCCCACTGCGAGGCCGCGGGCGTTCGGCTGTTTGCGCTGAGCGTCGCAGTTGCGTTCACCTCGGCCCGTCCGCGCACGTCTGCTGATCTGCGCGAGCAACCGCTCGCACGCATGACTTCGCGCTCTCCGTTCGCCAGCGTCGTCGCCGTGTTCGGGCGGAACGATTGACGGGCGGAACGATTGACGTGACCTCTCCATTGCATTCATAATCTTCGTCCCGCCATAGAACTCGGACTGATCGTCGTCTGCTTCTCTGTCCGAACCGCGGGTCTTGATGTCCACCGAGTCTCGGCGCGCGCGCCTGACCGTGATCTTGGCGGGTCGGGGGGAATGTATCCACGGGGCGGTAGCAGGCGCTGCCTGCGCGCCGCCGAGTTTCTTCTCCTGCTTCGAGTGCCGATCCGCCTCATCCCCGGTATTCTCTCTCTCTCTCTCTCTCTCTCTCTCTCTCTCCTCCAAGTCCTGCATTTGCGCGATGGCCTCGATCTCGGCACGCCGCTCTGCGCGCAACCCCCGCTTGCCAGCGCCCCCTTCCGGGCGGCGCTCGATCTGGAGCGCAGCTGCTCGGGGCGCTGCAGCGACTTCCCGGCGCTCGGCCCCAGCTGAGCCCTCAAACGCCCGCAGGCGTTTAGCGGCCCCGCCGTCGATCATCTCTGCCCCGCGCTCAGAGTCGCGCGCGGCACAGCCGCGAGGCGCTCCGAGCACTGGGGGGCAATCGATTGGGCCGGCACCTGCGGGGGTTCGGGCAGCAATGCGTTTTGCCAGCGCCATCCTAGTTTTGCGCTCTTGCTCTTATTTTTCTCGTTGGTTTTGTCTTCGGCACCTCTGTCCCGTTTTGCTGACAATGCAACGCAAACACTAAATGCATGTCGTTCTCGATGAAAACTTCGTCGCAAAACGCGTTCGAGCGCCGCCCGCAATCGCGATCTGCAGGCATGTCGCACGCGAAGCACCGCAGTGCGCCCGCCCCGTTAGGAAGCCGCGCCAATCAAGGCGCAGGCGCTCGAGTAGCTGGCGGCCCAGCAGTCGCGACCTTGGTCGCGGCGGCCTCAGCTTGGCCAGCGTGCCCACGTGAGCCACTGCGCATGCGATGCTCGGCATGCTCGCGATATTGATGTTCGCGCCGCGCTTCCCAACGCAGCAGCGTCTGCGACGCCGTCACCTCCATGTTCTGGGACACCGCACCTAGCCTGTCGCTTGCTTCTGGTTCTATCATCTGGGTCTTCGCCAAGGCATCGCGGGCCTCGGCGTTGGCCCGAGCACGGGTCATGCTCGACTCCATAGCGATAGTCTGTTACCTTTGGTTCGAGTCACTGACTTCGCTTTGGGCCCGCTGGATCACCGTGGCTCTCGTGGCCGATGCGCGCTCGGGGAGTTTCACGTCCAACTGCTTGTCAGCAATGGCCTTTCGAACCTCGGCGTTGGCCTCGGACGTCTGCGCAGCATTGCGCGCCTGAGCGGCCCTGAGCTCATCGGCAAGCGCGGCGTCGGCAGCACGTTGGCTCCCACCAGCGCCCCAGATAGCGATGGCCGCCCTCTCGGCGACGTCATCTCCAGAGCCAGGGCCATCCTTTCGGCCATCGTCGAAACCTCAAGCCGCGCGGACATCTCCTGTAGCTCCGCACTGGTCCGTGCGATGCGTTCCCAGACCATCGCGCGTTGCCTTCCCTCGGCTTGCTCAACGGCGCGCACTGCAGCGATGCGATCGTTTTCGGCCTGGAGCCGCGCGGCGGCCCCCCGTTGGAGCTCGACCGCCAGAGGGCGCAGGGCAAGTGCGAGCGGTGGGCGCATTCGGGGCACGATGACAAATGGTTGCAATGCAAGCAGCACTCGGAACAAGCCCCGCAAGCTGCCTTCCCACCTTGCCCGCGGTCCCCTGGGCATCGAGGTTCAAGGAACTCCGCGCAGCTAGGTTTATGGTGCCCCCCATCGTACTCAAGGACCACATCCCCAAAAATATGTTCGAGCACCCAGAAAAGTGTCGAAAGAGTGTCGAAAGAGTGTCGACAGAATGTCTCCCAGGGCCAGACACGTGAAAACCCTAGTTGTTTGTGTGTTTTCTTGGTGTTCGAAATTCATTCTGGTGATCAAGGCTAAAGTAGGTTGGAACATCATAAAGCTAGGTCCTTTGCTCGAACAGCTGGATTCGACGCGGTAAGCCGGCGCACTCGAACGGGAAGTGAGAGCAGACGCGGACGACGCCCCCGGCGAGCAGTGAGAGCAGACGCGGACGACGCCCCCGGCGAAACTCGCGGGCCCCGCCGCCCCTCGGGCCCATTACCCCTGGGGCCGTGGGGGCCGCGCCCTCAGCACAGGCGATTCGAGTCGCATCCGACTCGCGCCTGCCCTTGCGTCGGCGGTGGACAAACCTCCCTTTAGTAGACCTCCCCTTAGTGAAAACGGCCAGGGACCGAAACCAACGGACCTGGACCCACAAAAATGACGGCCGCGACGCCCTCTCCCGAACCGAAAACGGCCAATTCCTTAATCGACGTGTCAGGGTAGGAGGTCTATCCACCTCCGATTGCGCCCCGACACTGTCGAGTCGAATGGCGGGTCGCCAAGGCCTGGGGCACTGCCACCCGGAAAGTCTCTTTGTTCAGGGTCGTCCGAGTAGCATGCAGCGTCGTCCTTCCCAGTCCGCATTGTCTCCGGGGGCCCCATCGAGAGGCAGCTCGCCTCTCGGGGTTGCTTCGTCGCGGGCGTTCGCGGCGCCAGCGTGTCGCTGAAGCAAATGACGAGCGTGAGTGCCCATACCGAAGGGAGTCCGAGTCAGGCGACTCCCAAAAGCCACTGGCCTCGGGATGCCCCCCCTGGGTGGCACTACGGGGTCGTCGCGGGCAACGAACGAGGAGTCGGGGTCAATGGTCAATGGTTCGCCTGCATCGGAAGACATCGGGATGGGGGCCTCGCCGCCGTCTGCTTCATCTGCAGTGTTCGGCGGCCTCGCGTAAGGGATGTCATCCCGTACTGTTCATCACGACTCATCTCGGACCGCTCGGGGTGTAGCCAGCCGTCCCGGTTCGTGGTCGCTGTCAGAGCCTTCCACCGACACGTGTGTGTTGATGCTTTGACGTTTTGTGAAGTGCGTTATGCCAAGGCCCCCGACACCGTCGTGGAGCAGGACAGCGATCTTACTCGCCTCTTTTGAACCGTGACCTCGTTCGGGAACTCCGGACACATCGTCCGTCACGCCGGGAAGCACTGCCTCCGGAACTCGTGGAATAACGTTCGGTTGATAACAAGTGTTTTGCCGATCTATCTTCACATTACGCAAAAAGCTTCTTAAGGTGGATCGGTCCATGGTGTTTCCGTCCATGATATTTGTGTCCGACTTGTTCCAGTGGTGAGGTGCGATCACGGCGAACCGACGACGTTCCCCTGGCCATGGCCGAATGTCCGTTAATCGGATCTCCTAAGGTATGTGTGATGTGTGAGCCGGCCTGCCAGATGACAGGGAGGCCGGGCGGCGCGCGAAAACCTTTTCAACAGAAAGTGGCTGCGGCGGAGACAGTACCTCCGCCTCCGTTCGTAACCCTGCCGACCGTATATTGTAGGGGACGGGCAGGGTACCTAAAACAGGCGAGGGAAGCGATAGTAATGAGTCTCCGCCTCGTCGTCGTCGTCGTCGTCGTCGTCGTCGTCGTCGTCGTCGTCGTCGTCGTCGTCGTCGTCGTCGTCGTCGTCATCGTGATCATCATCGTCGTCGTTGTCGTCGTCGTCATTGGGGAGGCTTTGAGCGTTTCTGGG